CATCTCTCTGCCTTAAAGCAGAGAACTGACTGGGATGTCTCTAAATATCCCATTATTGCATGACATTCCCAGTCTGAACACTGGATTCCTTTAACTGTCATCCTGGTTGGACATATGAGGATAGGGAGCTCACTTGTTGCTTTGGCTCAGCTGAGCAGCCACAGTTCTTCATGGGAGAGAAGCTAGAGATTGGACCAACAAAAAGATCCCTGTAGCAGCTTCTTGGCTGCCATTGACAGTTTGACTGAAGCTTTTTAAGCCACAAGCCATCAACAGTTGTCTGCTTACTGCAAATGGGTGACAAATGTTAACTCAAATTTGCTCTACATAAATTATAATATAAGCACTGGCTTACTTGTATGCTGTATGCTAATATACAAAAACACACTTAAGCAGGTAGACAGTCGGTAATGACCTTTATTTTCAGCTCATGGAACAAACAAAGCAAGCAAGCAGCAGACAGCACACAAAGAACAATCTGGCAACGAATCAATCGCGAGGAGCAGTATATGAACCGGCTTGATTGGTGATCAGGAGGCTGGCTGATAAGGATGCTTGGCTGACTGGCAGAGTGGAACAGTACTGAGCTGGCTGAGGTGAACAGGTGAGGAGGAGGGCAGACTGTAACAAAAGGTGTGCTTGCAGATTAAGTGAGAATCAATGGAGTTTCTTACTTGTTGTACAATTTAGAACATTAATATAGCAGCAAACAACTATTTGCTATTTAATGCAACAGCTGTTTTTCTCAAGGATTTGTTTCTACCAAACCAGAGATGATCATCAGAGATTGTTGGAACAGTGGAAAAACTAAAACACAGTTTTGATGAGCTTTATCTTGTTTTGTAACTTTGAATGAAGTTACCATTATCTTTGAGGTTATGTTACCGTTTTTGTCTATGGTGGCAAACAACAGCAATATTGTGGCTGTTTCTGGTTAAACAAAAGGTCTATCTCTGTATGACAGACACTTAGAATAACAGTCAGAGCCTGTCAGTGGCAACTTTTAGTGGACGTGTTCGGAAGGGCACATTTGTCCCCAATGATTAGCTAATGTTAGGTACACGTATTTGTTAATTGTATATGTAAATGTATAGTAGTTTTGACCAAACCAGACATGCTGTTGTAGTCATAAAGACGAAACAAAGACTTTATTGAAGAGTGTGGTTTATGATCTGCAAGGTAAAATCTGTGTTTTTGTCAATAGATTCTGATGAGTCATTTGGTCTGGTCTGCTGTGCTCTAGTGCGACATCGACTCTGAATGTCTGAAAGTCGTGTACAGCACCTGTTGAACCTGGTCTTAGTCTATATTTTTGTTATTTTAAAAAAATCAACAAAAAAAGACTAAAACCAACAATTTCTTTAAAACATTTTTGTCCCTTATTTAACACCATAACAGAAAGGGAGATTGTGACCATATTTCACAGTTGGTCGGACACTGAATTGATGACACAAAGGCTCAAAATAGGGTTTTAGCCATAATTTAAGAATTAATTCCAGATTGCATACTCATGTTGACTGGGACAACACAATTCATTGTACAAGTAATAAATAATAAAATTAAGTCTGTCACTTAAAATTATGAAAGCAACTTTCCAAAGCAAACTTACAAAATTGATTTAGAATTCTTTATTTTTTGGATGATGGATTTTTTTGTTAAATAAATAAACTCAACTGGTTTTACAGTGCCATATGAGTCTGGATAGACATGGATGTAAACTGCAACTTGATTGGTTGGCGGAGGCATACAACCACTTGGCTTTAACTCTAGTGTGTTCTTTTTTTTGGTGAGGAGAGTTCGATTGTTCAAACCATTATTTATCCAGAGGAAGCCAGCTGATCTCACTCTCCTCTTCTCAACTCCCCTCTTCCTCCACAGCCTTGTACTGTCGGGCCGTATGCTGCTCCACTGAAGCCTCACTTCTCTGTACAAGGGCACCTCTGCTGTGACTGAGGGAGGGGAGAGGGTGATCCATCCACCTTCGGCCTCCCGTATTCTCCTGACAGATGTTTCGTACTGCTGCGCTGTGTGGGAGGATTAGGATCTTATAGGTATTACATACTGTCATATGAATAAAGGTATGCATATTGTTACCCTACTGGTGATAAATGGGAAATGTGATAGGAGAGACAGGCAGCCTCTGTGATTTTATGAAGGGTTGTAAATATGTTTAATGGTGTGCATTATCATATTTCAGAGGTGTAGACAGTTAGAACACTGCTGGGAAATTGAGATATAGTCAGGTCATGGTGTGATGATCTGCTCCTCTATAGACAAACACCATCTGAACACATACATACAACATATAGTGTGATATTAATGTGCTTTGTCCTTATCTGTCTATGTATGCGTGTGTGTGTGTGTGTGTGTGTGTGTGTGTGTGTGTGTGTGTGTGTGTGTGTGTGTGTGATCTGCCACCGATGAACTCACTCACACTTTTTCCTAAATACTAACTTCTGTTCCACATGTATTTAATACAGATGAATGAATCTGACTCAAGCCAAGTTTTTATGTCATCTGATATGTATGTGTGTGTGTGTGTGTGTGTGTGTGTGTGTGTGTGTGTGTGTGTGTGTGTGTGTGTGTGTGTGTGCATTATAGTCACTGAGAGCTATACTGCAGTTTCTTTGGTGAATCCTGCAGCATCAATCCAATGTCCTTTCCTGAAAACATTTCATTTAAGGCAATCAGACTGAGACGTTAGTATATTTGTCTGACATGGCCAAAATAAATTGGCGAAATTGATATCAGTCAGCTTTGCCTTTCATCCTGGGTATTCAACATTGGAACTTTTCCTTGACCTCGGTGAATGTCAGTGTCTGGTATTAGCAGATTAGGTCTGGGCCTTGATACAGGCTGGTGGTTAAAGTGTAATTTCAGTTTGTAGACCCTTTGTAGGTCTGCCATGTTTCTACAGTAACTACAGGAGGGTGAGGTGAGGGCTTTGCAATCAATAACTTCACCTTTAATTCAGTAATGACCTTTTTTGTCCCCCCCCACCACCACCACCCAGCATTTTCGTCAACAAGAAACAATATGAGAGAAAAAAGTAACAAAAGGAAAGCTGAATGTTATTGAAGGAAAAAGAAGATGGAAAAACGTTGCACATATACTTCAGGGTTGGATGTGGAGCTGCAACACATAATCTGGGAAACAATAACTACAAGTGTTTGAGGGAGAGAGACCACACATCAAGCTCAACAAGTCATCTCCTTCAACCTTATTAAATTCCGGAATCTCTGAATATGTAAATGTTGTTCATTTCTAAAGTTTTCCTGCTGGACACAAGATGTCTCCTACTTCACTGTAAAGTCCATTCTCAGTGGATGTGCACTGGTGGATCACACTGTACGAGTTACATACTCGACTTCATGAGGATTACCGTTTTTTCTTTTCTTCTCTGTCTAAAATGTCAGTGTTGCAGTCAGTCTTCTACTTTGTTACTTTCTGTCTAATTCAATCAAATTCAATTCATTTTTATTTGTATAGCGCCAGATCACAGTTATCTTAGGACTTGACCGTACTCCTTATAAAATTATTTACAGAGATAAAGAGAGAAGGACAGAGACAGAGACAAAGGTGACTGTGAGTATTTGAATTTGAGAAGTTATTTATTCTGTGTTTTGAACAAGACATATGTGAAGTTATGCTGTGTTGAAATAATTATAATAACTAAATGTTAGCATTTAACACATGGCTGTTTAAATATATATATATATATATATATATATATTTAAATTAATTAATATCATAAATGTGCAACGACTAGTCGACTGTTGGGCTTTCAAGAAATAATCTCCATACAGCCAAACATCTCACCGATGTAACAACACAGCGTTCACCTGTAGCATGGCCTAGTGTAAAGGTACTTGTGCTCCTCCATCCAGCAACACCTGTTCCCTGAGTGACAGTTAGTACCTATATTGAAAGTGACCTCAAGCACAAAGGTGACACCCACTGGACTCATCTGCTCCTACATAAACTTCTAGAAATGGCTCCTGCACTTGGGCTCAGTGACAAGCGGGGTTGTCTCAGTCATGGTTCTTTTTTCTCCTGAAAAGACATTTTAAAAATGTGTGATTAGTAAAAAAAAAAACTACCATCTGTTTGACAGCAGAATAGCTCTGCTTTAACAACATGGCTTTTATTTTGTAGTCCTGCCCATCTGTTGTCTGAAAACGTTGTACTCACCGGAGTGACTGCAGAGAGTCAGGAACAGACCCAGTGGGGCAACAAACATGAACAGATTAATCAATGTGAGATCTCTGCTTTGGTGTAAAGACAGTATTAGTTTTTTGGTTTTTTTGTTATAATATGGTTTCAACAATCAACTTTCTTCCAGCCTCCTACCCAAAGTATCGTTCTATCTTTCTTGGCTCTGGTTGTTTTTATTCAGGCCTGGTGGATTCTTGCAAATGTCATTAGGAGGAGAATTTTGTAAGTACACAATATCACGTCAGCTAGAATGACCTTGGTATCTACATCCACCTTGAATCCATGCTGGACCCACCAGTCTAGTGGGATCAGGATCTTTGTGATTTTTAGCATCAAAACTATAAAAACTCCACCTTAGATTTTTGAAATACCCCAAACTAAATTTGATCTTGATTCTGGGTAGGGTTGGATTCCCAAATCTGTATCCCAATTTAATTTTTTTTAATTAAAAATTGATACATTTTCAAATTTAATCCTATCAGGAGACATCTGATCTAGATTAAAGATTACCTATGAATATTATATTAAATGTCTGACAATAGATAGAAATGTTACACCTTTAACTAAATAAAAATGACAGAGAATACAATGTGTAAGGTAGTTGTGGCACAGTTATATAGAAATATGATACATCATCACCTTTACATACAGATCAAGTATGCGTTGAACCTAAAGAACATGAGGGTGCTGCTGGGTGCTGCACTCCCCCTCTCAGCAGCCGGTGTTTCTGTTAGAGTGTTAGATGCTGCCACCATGTGGACATACAAATGACGCATGAGCCAAGCTACAGTTTTCATGCACTTCTTTAATATATCAGTTTTCATATTCACAACAAATACATTAAGCTCTTTCTCCTTATGATACAGCCTTAAATATTTTTACACTCGACCGTTTTTTTCTCAGAAGTCTGCCTATCAAAATGTCTTTTTAATCTTTGTCTCTTTTTCAACATTTTATAATTTGTTACATTTGTAGTCTCCATGCCTCCTAGCAAACTGACAGTATTTCCTTTGTACAACTATTTACAGGTGAAAAAAAACAAAAACAAATCTCCATAAAGTTTTTCATGATAGTTCTCTGTTGAAAGGAATTGTTGGGTTTAAGGTGCAGGCAAGGAGGAGAGGGAGGGAATGTTTAAGAAGAAAAAGGAACAGAAAGGTGGAACATGTAGTTCTGGATGAAGAGGAGGGACAGAGAATGTGTGGTGGAGAGGACAACCTCAGTGGCGGAGCTCAGTGTCTGCTCCTGTAGTCTATGTAGTTCTAGCAGATATACATCTGTGATAATATTCTCATAGAAAATAAAGATCTCTAAAAGTAAAATAAATACAGCACTATGAAAGACATTACTGTTTCCTTCCTTAGCTCCCGTCATGTGAACAGCGAGCAATCTACAAGTGTGCAACAGCAGATCCCAGTACAGCAGCCACTGCTATCTGCTCTCTAGAGGAGGATACTGGCGCCTGTGGAAGAGTACTAAGGCCATGTGCTTCTTCTAGTGAGGTTCTGGGAAATAGTAGCTTATTTTGTATTAAACTTGCCATGATCTGAGCACCTCTGGATCTGTGAGGGCTTAAAAGTTGACCTTGACAGTTCATTCATCACCTTGGAAACAGCAGTTGCTGAGATCAAAAGCTCTAGAACAAGCACATAAGTAACCTTGAGTTGAGATTGTTCTGTCAGCCGCTCCTTTCAAGGCCAAGCACAAACAAAAAACACTCAACATTCAAGCTGATATGGACAGGAAGTCCTTGGAATGCTCAGAAAAATGGAAATCTACGCTTGCAACTGTGTGAAGACCACGTGGCACGATCAAAAACTCCACAGCATGTAAAGTCAATGCCCCTGGTGATCCAGTAATTTGAGGTCATTATTGAAATCTACAAACTTTAGAGTTTTAGAATTGAGGCAAGAATTATACCTGGCAATTAGGGGTGCACAATTTATCGAAATATTATCAAACACGCAGTATTGCCAAGGGCGACATCCAAATCAAAGGCAGCAAGGTACAACATGTGACAAACAGCATTATAATGAAGTGCTGTAGTGCTGCACAGATGCCCAGGCATGCAAATCTCTCTGAGAAAGAATGTTTGTTTGGTACAGACCCAAACAGATTTCACATCATCATGATTTCAATAATTGTTATTTCTCGAAATAATCGCAATATGATTTTTTTGTCCTATTTTGTTCTCAGCTGTTCAATCACTAGTGCCTAGTCTCTTTCACAACCCGAACAAACTCTTGTCAAAGAGGTCAATAACATGCCAGTTCAGGTTTCTTCAGATGTTTTGTGAAGCTGTGGACAGAGGGGTTGCACCACCAGGCGATATGTAAGATTTAATAAAAGGCCTAGATTGCTCTATGCATCAGTCGAACCCTAACCTACATACTATGTTGGAGTCCAGTATAAGTAATAGTCAGATAATAGTAGAGTAAAACAAACAAAATTCTGTGAACCCCCTTTCCCTTAAAATGTACAGGTTAAACCATGCACTGAAGTGGCTGTCTGCTATTGACTGGTCTTCAGTGCCAGGTGATACCAGTTGTTAGTGTGTGTGAGTGTGCACTCAAAAACCAACAAACACCAGTTTTGGCGCAACAAGTCAATCCCCAGCATTTAAGACAAGGCATGCGTTGCTTCGACTGAACTGTTGAAAGAACGCAAAGCAACATGTGAACCACCAACATGGCCAACATTGGCAAACATTACTGCTGAAACAATGGCAATTTATATGATAGAATAATTCTTTAAAGTGGCTATAATCAATAGCTTTATGTATCAATGTATCAATTACACCGTCAAATGAATGTTTCTCTGTAACTGCTTAATGTCAATGTTGTATTCAAAACTTGTTTCTGCTACCCCCAGATGGACAAAAGGAAAAACAGGCAGAAGAACTCTACAAAATAGAAAATGCACGTGACAAAATGTTTTACAGTTAACTTGTTAGCAAACTGTCTTATTTACACATTGAGCAAATAAAAGGTGACAGCCATATTGTCTTCCCAGATCTCAGAAATGACCTTGGCAGGAATGTTGAAAACTATGACAATAAATTGTAATACACCTGGAGTTGACCCTTTTAAAGGCCCGCCCATTTTGGAACCTCAGTCAACTTCCTCCTTTCCTGTACTTAGATTTGCTATGTGCTAGGCTAATATATGTTGAAAAGACAACAGCGACATGTAGTCACATCTTAGCTTACAGTAGCTATGTTAGCTAATGTTAACAAAAGCTAGCTAACTAGCCAGCTAACTACCATGTAACGATTGGTATAGATTAGCTAGCTTGTTTGCTAGTGTTTTGTTAACATTAGCTAACTTAAGATGTGACAATATATGTTGCTTTTATCTTTTAACCATCTTAAAAATGTGGTTGTCTTTTCAACACAGATTAGCCTACCACAAAGCATTTCTACGTACAGGAAAGGAGGAAGTTCAGAAAGTTGCACAGAGCAAAAGGGGCGGGACTTAAGTGCACCTCTATCTACATAGTCCAGCCAATAGCAGATGGACATACTGTACCCTGCTTTCACCAGTGGATATCAGGCTTCACACCGATTTGGGTTTTGTTACTCTTCAAATATTGAATCACACTTTGGGACATTTTGTCTGCAGCCGTAAAATGCTAACATAAATGTCATCTTTATACATCCAGTCCACAGATACTCCCGATTTCATGTTTAAATGTGTATTTGTGTACTACTTTTATGCCTTGAGGCATTACGGGTGACCACTGAACAGCTCATAAAATTTGTAAGGAAGAAGGTTAACAATACAAACTCACTAGAAGGGAGGCAATCTTCTTATCCATTTTTGAGAGAGGGGGAAAAAACCAGGCACCAAAATACATAGATTTTCCCACCTTCTACACAGATTTCCTAACAGTTTATATTCAATATGCTTCCTGGACACATTTTATGAGGTGCCCACGGTGTCTAAATTACAGCAAGTGGTAATCCAGGGCTGTGATGAGTAGTCAGACTGTTACCGGGACAGGGCTGGCAGTTTCCACCGATTTCCAGCTTTTGTGCTAAGCTAGGCAAAACTCAACACAGCCTGGTTCCTGGACACACAAAGATGGGACTAATGGCTTAGATGTATTTCCTAACATGTAATCAGATTGTTGTGGGGGTTGGTGCCTGTGGCTTAGTTAATGATGGAAAGATGTACATGATCCTTGATAATTGCAAAGAACTGGTCTGTCAGTGTTTGGGTGGACACTGTGTGCTCTACCTCATCACATCAACTCATCAGGCCAGCAGTGTCATTCTGGTGACATGCTCGGCTGCTAGGGACTGGAGACAGTCCTTCGATGACAACTGAGCCTTCCCATTAAAATATTCACAGATCAGCCCCTGCAGATGACTTGAGCATTGGAAATTGAATTTTGGGTCATCAGCTCTTTATGTCACAATTTATTCTTCAATAAAAAAAAGTAAAGGCAAGTTGCTAATTTGCTTCGATCCATCTCTACAAAGTGCAAGTACACGAGTCACAAAGACTTAAACAAGAGTCAAAAGAAAGACTGGTAGCTTCAAATAAGCGGTTCTGAAAATAAATCCATTAAACAAAAATCAAAAAAATCACATAAATAAGTAAATATCTGCAGGCCTGCCTGTACAGAAAAAGGCAAACATCGACGATAAAACAAAAAGAACCTATAATAAACACCTACAACCCTTAACACAGGCTGGAATGAGAAAAAGAAATACAGGCGCATGTGTGTAGAGAAAGTAAAATGATGTGATTGAAAGAACAGACTAACAGAGGATCACTGGTCCTTTCAGCAGGTAATGCTGCAGCCCGACAGTCAGCAGCTGCAACAGGTAAGGTCCCATTTTAAGCCAAGTGCAATATTAAAGCCACATGGTCAAAGAAAGAAAAAAGAAAAAGAGAGAAAAAACAATGACACGACATGCACTTGGAAAAGCTTTGTTGCAAAGATGCTGTGTAAAAACTTAAAAGCTTAGAGAAGCCTGTACACACTCCTCAGCTCAGTATAAATGCTTAGCAGCAGCTTGGCCAGGTTAGAAAGAGAACCCTTCCACCTCCGAGCAAATCTGTGCTTTCCCTCCCTATGAACAGCCCGGCAGAACACTTTTCTACTAGAAATCTTACAGAAAGAACCACTTCTGCTGCTAATACACACGTGAAATCCTTTGAAAAGGTAGAGCATCTCTGGAGCAACATCTTTCAAACACCTCTAAAGCTTACTAATTAACACATAGCTCGTTTGTTGGCTTTAGACCAGGCCTTTTAAATAGAATGAGAAATCCATCTTGTGCAGCTTCCGTCACCAAACAAATTTTTCTTCCCAACAGTTCCTACAGGACATCTACACAAAGACCTGCTTCCCCTGCTTACATGTGAAGGTTAGAGCAAAATCTTTCAATTGATAAATAACTGTTGCTGTTTCATCGTGGGTGTCAAATCTGTTGGGGGCAGAATTTGGTCAGCATTAAGCCCAAGAAAAGAAAAAACAAAACAACGGCCTGTGCTGCAAATTAAACAAATAACAAAAAAGAGCTCAAGCTAAAACCTAAAATATGATAAACAAAAATGAAAAAATAAAAATAGATCTATCTTTCAAGTTATCTTCCTTTGGGGGTTAACCCCTGCTGATTGACCTCCAGCTCATCTCAGGGACGGGCTAACACCTTGGCCTTCAATCTCACCCGACGGACGGGAGGCCTCTTCTCCTTCCACAGGCCCCGCTCTGCAGTCGCTCAAAGTGCAGTTCAGCAGCCCGGCTGACTAACCAGCCTGCCTCCTCAACGCGGGAAATGACAGGACGAGTGGCGCCCAAAAGCCTCGACTTCTCCTGTTCCACCTTCGTCTCTCCTTCCTTTGGCCTTCATTTTTTCCCTCCAGCAGGCAAGTCGATCTGTGGAGTTTTCCATCTTCTCTTAAAACTCTTTTGGTATGGATACCTTTGCGTTGTTTTGTTTTTCTTTTGTGTCATTCAAGTTTCTTTTTTTTTTTTTCTTCTTTTTTTCCCTAATTCAGTTTTGCTGCCACTGTGGCTGTTTGCCTGCTGGACAGCTTTTTGTTGGAAGGACTCCAATGAGGCTGCCTTCTTCAGGTTGAAAGAGGAAGAAAAATGCACATTCTTTGAGACTATTTGTTTTTTCAGTAATGAATGAATCCACCATATGGACACGAGACTTTTGAGAAGTGACGAGGGATGGACTGGTGGGATCTGCAGCACTTACTTAAATGCTGAAAACTCCCCTGAAAAGTAATAAAGATACAGAGAAAATGAGTAGTATTAGTAATGTAGCTCTTCCCATCTGAAACCCTATGGAATGACATTAGTAACAAAATTCTGTATATGTGTTTTTATACATGTATATTCAGATATGACACACACAACACTGACATATGAACACATACTGCAGACACTAAGCTACTTTAGCATTCATTTTGAGTTGTGTTTGTGTCCAACATTCACTCTACTTTCATGATTCAGCCTTCATCTTTGTGGTTTATATCTTATATTTCTGAATACATGTTTATATATAAATAATATTTGTTGTGTCAAGATGGAAAAGCAGTAAAGTGAAGCAATTAGACCATCATGAGATGCTCAAATTCACATTCATAGACCGCAACCTCTGTGAACGTAATGCAGTGTAATACAAAACCATGCAACCAATACCTTACCTTTACGTAATGTAGTATTATCAGTTTTGATTGAGAAAATGTCAGTAATGTTTTACAAAAATATTGTTTTCACCAATTCCAGCTGCCTCAAGTTTGCATTTTTTTTGTCCAGTGTTAAGCTACTACTATCTGTAAAAGACTTCCTGCACAGATATTTCACATTAAAAGCCTTCCATCCCTATCTGATGGGCTTTGACTGTGAAATACCTTTTAATATGAAAAATAATATGTGTTTGCTTGAGTTGTATTTGAGTTTCATACCTTTAGTGTAAAGACATATTTGTGAACTGAGACAACTGTTAAGACTGATGTCTGTGTATGAGCTCACCATAGCCGCCAGCCTGGATGGGGGTTTTGGGTGAGGCGCAGGCGTACAAGCTGAAGTCCTCCGTTTGAAAGCCGGCTCGGTTTAACGAAGGCTCTGAGGCGCTGCGGTGGATTTTGGGTAATGAGCGAGCCAGCAGCTCGATGGATGCTAAGATCTGACGGGACACACAGCACAGCCACAGGGTCAGTCAGAATCAGTGTGGTCACCATTCACAACTAAACAAACAAAACCTTTAACAGTGCTGTGTGCTGTGTTTGGAGCATGTAACTAGTGAGTCGTTGCTTTAGTTCAGCTGTTTTTTTCTCTGAGGCCATCTGGTGGCAAAGTTAATCCGTTCCCCATTCATTCATTTCTGTAAATTTTAATTAATTAATTCAAAATTATAAAATTAAAACTGATGATTGCTTTCTTAATTCTCCTTTAACCATCTTTTGATCAATGAAACGTCCTGTTCTTTACTGACAGGGAAAATTGGAAATAAAGGCCTGTTTAAAAATCTGCTTCTCTCTGCAGTTGAAGTAAAAAGAACATTTAAAATATTTGTTCAGCTGGTGCTCTTCTTGTCATATTAGCATTGTCTCACCTGAGGGAAGAGAGGTCGCTCCTCTCTCTTCTTCTTCAGGCAGTCAGCCATCAGTCTCTTCATTGCCTTTGGGCAGTTGCTGCGCACCTTGCTGAGGTCAGGAGACAGGTAACCTCGACCCACCATAAATATGATCTATGGGAAGAGAAGATGTGTCATCAGAATATTTGGTTGCAGGGATACAGCCTCCCCCCAGCCACATCCTCCAGGCTGTCAGAAAGCTGAACCCCCCCCCAAAAAAAAACCACTCCGGACTCTGGACAAACTGTCTCTTGCACTATTACTATTACTATCACCACATACCATACAGACTGAAATTGGCTGCTATTTACTGCTTTTACTGACTGTTCTTTTTGCACTGTTTCAAATATATCTTACAGAATTTTTTGCTGCCATTACCAACTGCCTTTTTGCACTCCATAACCTAACTTATACAGAAACTTATGCTTCTACTCCTACATATACATAGTAGACTCCTATATTGTTTATTTTATTAGCATTATTTTTTAGCATTAGTCAATGTCTTATCTGTTGTGAAATTGAATGTTTACTTTTAGTATTAGGAAATGTCTTGTCTTATCTGTTGTGCCTGTGCACTTTATCTGTTTTGCCGTGGGAGAGTGAGAAACGTCCTCTCGATTCCTTTGTATGTCTGGTGCATGTGAAGAAATTGACATTAAAGCTGACTTTGACTACAACCAAAGATCCAAGAAAAATTTTTGAGCTCTAGCTTCCAACAGAGCTCAAATGTTAACGTTAGGAAATGTGACTGGACTGTGCCACATTTATTAATCCCCACAAAAATATTTGTTCTCTGCCTCTGACCTGTCCTAATGGTACGTGTCCACAGTGGCGTCTTTGGACAGGAGCAGTCGCCCCACTTCCCAGTACTGCACACTTGTAGTCATATTGACCAACAAACAGCTATACCCTTCTTCAAATACACAAACACTGCTGGCTGCACCTGATTGGGAGAGTGCTTGCTGCTCCAGGATTTCAAAACCGGACCAACATAGCGGCTCATTTGGAAATGTTCTATCATATTCCGAAAATATTTCATGGAAATATTTTAAGCAAGAAATATGCCATGCAGTTGCTGAATGACAGAAGCCTTCATTTTAGATCAAAAGGACTTTCAGAGGCGGCAAGTCGAACTGCCAGACACTCCTGATTTGCATAAAGTAGCCTAGACCTCAATTTGATGCAAATAAGGAGCAGGCAATGTGATGCCCCGTCTCTTAAAACACACCGCAGGGCAACCTGAACACACTACACACTGAACATAGAAAAGCATGGAAATGACTGCTCCTGTGGACATGAACCTTAAGTGTTAGAAACAGTGGGCAACCACTGTGCAGTGCCCAGGGACCAACTCCAGTTCAAGGCCAACAATGATGGCAGGGTAAACTGGAGCACCTGCAGGGCACCCACGCAAACATGGAGAGAAAATTCAAACTCCACACAGCCCCAGCTGGGAATCGAACCCAGGACTATCCTGCTGTGAGGCAACGGACCACTGAGCCACCTGGCTGCTTCTATACCTTTACATCCTTTACTGTGTTGATTTAATTAGTATACATTGAAAAAGCTATCATAAATTGATTTATTAGATTGCCTCAAAACAATTACATTTCTTTAAATTGAATTAAGAGCATTGATGCATGCAGTTTAAAAGGACCAGTGTAACGTGTGTGTAGGAGAAACTATGATGGCAGTGAAACTTGTGAGCAAAAGGCCCTATTAAGAGCCAGGTTTGTCTGTTCTGTATGTGTCTAAGAAGACAGAAGACAATTCCTATGTTCAGGTGATTTACTAAGTGCACATTGTACATTAAGAACCAGCCTGAAATCTAACAATGCAATGAAGAATGGATTCCAGTACAATGATCATTTTTTTATTTATTATAAATCATCTCCCCAATGATGAGAATTTGCTCATATCATTGTGTTATCATTGACTCTCTATGAGGTTTGGGCTGTTGCTCAGAAAAAAACAAGACAAGTTAAATAAAATAACCAATTGTGAGTCATGAGAGATATGAATGAAATTAACCAATAGTAGCTGTTGCTAATTATTAACGTTCCTGAAGGAGTGGTATCATCATTCAAACAAGTGACATCAGCAATCTAACATTCTCATGGAGATTATCTGCAGTCAAAAACATGTAGTTCCTCAACATTACAACAAAGAGAGGCACAAAACCAAAAGAACAAGCAAAGAGTATTTGAGCTAAATGAGATTACAGTCACACTGGAGGAACTGGAGGAAAATAAGCTCATCCTGTTTACTAGTCCACCAGAAGCCTCCAGCTCTAGTTCCCCTGAGGTTCCCCTTCTTCTGATCTTATGTGTTTAGCCTGTGCTACTTTCACTATTTGCTGTTGTTTAGCTTGTTGAGTAATCTAAAGATCACCACCCACATTGCATCAAACACCATGTTTATTCACTGAGAGCATTAGTGTTGGAATGCAAAAAATACTAAATGAAACATAAAGGTTATAGATTAACAAGATGTTATCAATTTCTTACAGGATCAACTATTAAATGAATTGGCAATTATGTTGATAATCTATTTATCTTTTTGAGTCATGAATGTTTAAATTATCTGACTTCAGCTTCTCAAATATTAGTATGTCCTGATTTCTCAAATGTGAATATTTGCTTTAGTCCTCTATAAAAGTAAACTGAATATCTTTGGGTTGTGGATAAAACAAGACATTTGAAGATGTCACATTGGGGTTTGGGAAACAGTGATCAACATCGTTCACCATTTTATGACATTTTATGGACAAATCAAGTCATCAATTAATAAAGTTATAAATAGTCAATAGTTGCAGCCCTACTTTACTCAAACCATTTCTTACAAAACCCATAAAACCTAATAAGATGCACAAGATTGGTAAAATATAATTTAGTCACAGACTAAAAAGATTATTTGTTTATATACAGTATGTATTAAACAATTTCAGATTCAGTAGATACATGTTAATCAGTGAGCTTGAGAGCTGTTGGTAGGTGTATTTTAGTCTTTACCAGTGGGATCGATCCATCAGAAAGAGGAACGTCTGTGTTTTTGTTAGTATTTAAAATAACACCTTCAGGATTTCTAAATACTGTTATGCCTTGTAGAAATGAATTAACTAAGCTGTGTTTTGGTTTATTAAAACATCTGGTTCAGATGTCAGTGTGACTCTTTACCTGGTCTCTGTTGTTGATGTTGGAATAGGGCAGAGCTCCCGACATGAGCTCGTACAGCACAATGCCAAAGGCGTAGACGTCTGACTGGAAGCTGTAGGGATTCTTGTCCTGCAGCCGGATCACCTCTGGAGCCTGAGAGAGAACAGGTTACACTCACAAAGACATCTACACACTTGTAGCTCACACCAATTTCATATACTTTTGTTTGGTAAAATCAAAACTTAGTGAGGGATGAACACTGACCATCCACAGTATAGAGCCAGACAGCTGTTCAAACTGGTGGGAGCCACTCCAGCGGGACTTGACTGTAGCCAGACCAAAGTCACCAATCTTCACTGTCAGATCCTCGTGGAGGAAAATATCTGGGAGGAGGTCAAGGAAACGCTCTTTACTTCTACTTCTGAGCTCCTAACCATGGAGGATGGGGGGTATATTTTCATCCCTGCTAGATAAATCCCAACATCACCAACAGATTCAATTTAATTTGTACAAAATAAAGATGAACTTATTGTTTCAAAAGGATACTGTTGCTCTTCAGATCTCTGTGGATGATTGATTTGGCATGAAGGTAACTGAGGAGAAAAGAAAGGTTGTTAGGCCGAATGCGTGCACGGTGTAATCTGACTGCTGTTTGGTATCTGTAAGGGAACTCACTCCATGCCCTGAGCGGTCTGCCGGGCAATGTCGATCAACTTGATCATCTCAAACTTGGTCTCGATGATGTGCAGGTGGTGGTACAGACTGGATCCTTCGCACCACTGGGTCACTATGGCCAGCTGAGGCTTGGTAGTGTAGCCCATGAACAGTAGGATGTTCACGTGACGCGTTTTCCTGGTGAGACACACAGCAGTTGACGAAATTGCTCAAGGAGCATACTACGGTAAGATGATGTTAAAAAAAAATTGTATTGCAATATTTTTTCTTGTGATATTGTATCGATTCTCAAAAGCACTATTGATTTTTGTGTTTAAACCTCCAACCACTAGATAGTAGTGTTAACTGAGGGCTATGATATTGGATGTTAGAATCAGAATCGGGTCTATTGCCAAGTAAGTTTTCACACATACAAGGAATTTGTCTTGGTGCATTGGTGCATAAAAATCACACAGAAATAAAGTACTTTTTAAAATATAAATAAATAAAGATAAGGATAAAGATAGAAAGATCCAAAACTGTACAGGAAAGATATTTACAATGTGCAGGATAGGAAAACGGGAGGGCATTAATGTAATGCATATATACAGGGTGGGTATTAAGAGTCAGTGTCAGATGGGTTCCGGGACTGGGACTACAACAATTTTCTTAAAATAAGGTTAAACGAAAAAAAGCACAATATAACACCTTGAATACAGTATCACAATATATATCGCAATATATTGAAAAAATCTTTTTCCATGACCTTTCCAGGACATTTACCAGGAGTTTCTTGACAATACAGGACAGCGCTTGCTTACAATCGGTCATATAATTTACTGACTGCGTAGACCAACTATTGATACATTTAACTCCATTTATAAGCTTTAATTTGCTCACTTTTCCGCTACATACTCTCCAGTGACTTCACTACATTTTACTACAGTTTTCTTCTGACTGTAACATGACTCTGGCCAAAGCCCATGCTTACCAGTTTAAATTATCTTGAATTTATTTTATTTTACAGAAGAATTCATGGGAACCCTGTTAAAGAGGAGGGGGCAGCCGTTACCTGAGAACTCCCACTTCATTTTTGAAGGCCTGAAGCTGTTGTGGTGTGGGAGCAGTGACGTTCAACATCTTCACTGCCACATCCCCTGGGAGGAGATGGGAGGACAAGTCAGTCAAAAAAGGTTTGTTTTACTGCAGACACGTTTGAAGTATGTAAAAATACTCTGCTATGATTCTAAATGCTACACACTGGACCTTTAAATAAACATCAACACCTCTAAATTGTCAGAGAAACAATCTGTGAATGAAAGATGATTTCCTTTGGTTCCTCATGAAGACGTAAATCTAAAAACAGCTCACAAATATAATGTTTCATTTAAAAAAAAAGAAAATTCTGAGTAATTTCCAAAAACAGCTGGCCACTGTAGTTTTTTTAACGTTACTCTAACAGGAGGGAAAAGTGCATTTGTTGGGAACTATCTTCAGTGGTGGATGAATCTACATTTGGTACTCCAGTTAGTATTTGGGATAGGACGACGTGTTTATGCGACTGATTCAAAATAAACTACAGTGTGTGTTCATGGTAATGAAGGACTTAATCGTAGTACAGCCTTGGTCTTACCATGCCACTTGCCCTTGAAGACAGTTCCAAAGGATCCAGACCCTATCCTCTGACCCAGAGTGATCTGACCCTCAGGGATTTCCCAGTCGTCACTGGAGTCCCTCCTCCCCAGGGTTTTCTGTTCCACAGAACAGTCAGTTAGCATAAGCACACGGACAGACAACTTCAGAAAATATCTGTGACAACCTCTCACCATCTTATTGCGGTCCTCAGACGAGGATGAGGACTTCCGCTCCCTCTGTTGGCACGGCGACTTCTGGGGGACCTTGACGTTGGTCAGGGAGCCGGGTAAAGAGGCGGGAGGCGTCGCTGACAGCCCTGTAGTGGAGCCTGGAGGGGGGGGGGATCAAGGGTTGAAAAGAAGGGAAACAATAAAAAGAAGAGAAGTGAGGTAGATAGGAAACACTGATAAAAAAAAAAGAAGGTGAGCGAAAGCAGAAGAGTAAAGAAAGAGCAGGTTTGGGCGGAAGCAGGGATCTGTATCAGTCGTGTGTGTGTGGTCACATGCAGAGGAGAAGTGAGGGGATGCTTGGTTGGATGGCAGTTAATGGTTTAATAATCTAGACTTCCCAAAGACCATCTCTGTTATTAATTACTTGTGTCAGGATCACTAAAGATTTTATATTGTTGATTAAAAGGGAGCCTCTAGACCTCTGCAATCAAATTCTCCAACAAAGAATTCAACCCTTTGAGTTGTATAAAAAGTTCCTAAAATATCAGGAAAACACATCTCAGATGTAATATTCACAGAAAATAATCTGCTCAAAATTCATCCAATTGCTTGTTTTACACAAACTTCCTGCAGTTATTGTGTTCACTGTTTGGGTTCATTGGTTCATCAGTTGTTCTCTGCTGTTATTATTATATAATATGAAATATCCATAAAAAGGGTCACTTAAGGAAAAGGTCTACATAAGACATGTTGTATAGAACATTGGTTCTATCAGAACACAGATAGATTTAGATGCAAATAGATGGATATACTGTATATTAGGTCAGTCAGTCGATACGATAACCGATATTTACCTGCTTCTCATGACTGATACCGATAAGATAAAAATTTTGCATTTTCAGTTTTAAGTTCTGTAGTTTTTACACACTTGATGGCAAGATGTAGTGATAAAAGATGGATGATTTAATATTCTAGAGCTCTGTTCTAACTAAATCTAACTGACATTACACAAACTTCTGACTTCTGACTCTAGTATGTAAGTTCATTAAAAATCTCCCAAACATACTTTGGCTTTCATAGAACATAAATCCTACCAATCATTTTGGAGAAGAATTCCAAATAAGTTATTATTATTGTTTTTATTATGGACCAATCATTTATAATAAAGATATTGTGAATGTGACTAAGGAAAACTACATGATTTTTTACTTGTGTGCCATCATGAAACGGTGTCTAGATTTATTCATTATTTACTAAAATTAACCTTACTTGATCAAAGGAAAGCAATCACCATCATAGAAAGAGTGTCTGACCAGAGTGGTGGCGAGATGTCTGTGTAACCAGTGAGCTGTCAGGTGTCTGGTAGAAAAAGCATGTGAGGACATAAAGGGGAAAAAGAGAGAAGGGGAAGGGGGGGGTACACACAGTGGATGTGACACAGGGCTGGGGTTGGTGTGTGGGGGTTGGGTGGGGGGGGGGCGGGTGAAGGACACAGGAACACACAGAGGCCTAACTACCTCGGAAAACAGGCTCGGGCTCAAAATCAAACACTATGTCATTGGGGTAGGAGTATAGGAGGGGGCTTGAGGTCCGTGTTCGGTGCTTCCTCAAGCAGCGGGCGGGGTGGGTCGGGGGGCTGCAGGGCAAAGAGAAACAGACAGACCATCACTGCTACTCACCCTGCCCCTCTCACCTCTAACTAACTACTGTCCATGAGGGCTGTGTATTGGCAAGAATCTGGCGATACGATCATTATACAGGGGTTACGATTCAATATATATAGTGATACTATAAGCAAGGTGATATACTGTGATTTTTAAAAAAAATCTAATAATAAGAAAACTGTCATAGTATAATAAACACACCATCATATGCATAAATCTGACTTAAAAAAGTGCCAAAAGTGTATTGGCAAGAATCCGGCGATATCATACGTATCACGATACAGGGGTTACGATTCAATATATCCCACTGCAAGCAAGGCGATGTACTGTAATTTTTATTTTATTTTTAAATCTAATTTTACGAAACTGTCTTAGTATTCAGAACACCATATGCATAAATCTGAGTTAAAAAAGTGTCAAAAGTGTGGCAAGAATTGTGGCAAGAATCTGGTGATATGCGTATCACAATATAGAGGTTACGATTTAAAACATTGTGATTTATTGCGAGAAAAATTTTGATTTTAGGAAAACTGTCACAGTATGAGGAACACATCACTTTTTTATGCAACCAACAGTGGGATCTGTACTTGTATTTATCACAGTCCCTGTAACATCCAACATCATAGCCCTCAGTTTACGTCACTGATATCTAGTAGTTGGGGGTTTAAGCACAAAAATTGTGTTTTTGAGAATCAATACAGTATCACAAAATAAAATATCGCGATACGACATTTTTCAATATTTTCTTACACCCCTATGTTAGAAATTTTAGTGTCAACATTTCAGGTTATATTCTTATTTCTTTCCGTAAAGTGAGATGTGAAGATCGATATTAATGTGATGTCTGTTAAGTATGGAGCTATGTTTAGCCTAGCTTAGCAGACTGTAAGCAGGTGAATGGCTAGCCTGGCCAAAGAGCTCTAAACCTCACTAATTAAGAAGTGTATATTGTCTGTTTAATGCATACACAAACAGAAATGTAAAAAGTGTTTAGTGTAGCGCCATTGCGCATGATAAAGCGTTGTTAGGTAATGAAATCTCTGAGATGCTGACAGTTCTGTAAAGTAGACAACTGCTGGTGGTGTTAAATGTTGCTAGATTATTTAAGTCAACATTAGGTAACCCCAGGTCTTAAAGTACCAGCTGATACCCGGTTTTCGAACTACAATAAGTTCTTTCATCCAGTGCTCATAACCTACTCAATCCACTGTACATCATGAAGACCACAACAGGCCTCTCCTTTACTGAAAAACCTCTTGGTTATTTAACTATCACTTAACTTAATGAAGTTGAAAAATTCATTAACTACATGTGTTCCTTACTCTCCTGAGGAGACCTGGCCTGTCAGAGCAGCTCAAAGTAAGTCTGAAAAAGCAAAAGGTGGTCTGCTGAAGTTTAAGTTCTGTTCTCCTACAAACCCTGACGCACAGATCTGAATAAATATCCTCAGCTAGGGTGAACTCCACACACACACACACACACACACACACACACACACACACACACACACACACAAACACACAAACACACACACACACACACACACACACACACACACGACCAAGAGCACGCAGACGCGGGATGGTGGGAAAAAAAACAAAAACAAAGAATGAGCTAGAAGTCTCCTGATGTGATCCTTACCTCCCTCAGATCTCGGTAAGCCCTGATCTCGAATCAGGTCCTGAAAGAAAGAGAGAAGGGAAATTATTAATACGAACACCTCACAAACACAATTAACTATACTGCACTGTACTGTACAATTTCCTTTAGCAGCACTCTCAGGAACTGTTGTCACAGACAGTGTAGCAGCTGAAGTGCTGGAAGGGCTGTACAGTGAGCCAAATTCTTTATCCTGGGGTGGCGAAGTCATGACAATCCAAATTCCTGATCAAATTCTCTGAATGACAGCTATAGGCTCGAGAATCAGCCGAATATAACTTTGTTGCTTTGCTTCTGCTCTCTGGTTAAACAGTGTTTATCAGTAAAATCAACTGCTGTCGTAGAACAGGGTTGAGAGGCACATGTTTATCGGTCAGTCCAGTAGACAGCAGACTTACATCGATATTGACAGGCTCGATGGTATTGATATGGACATTGGGGGCAGAGGACGAACGGTCCCGCTGGCCAAACTGGTTGCGGTGGTCCTCCTCATTGGGCCGGAAACTGGGCGGGATGGGTATGGACTTGGACGGGGACACAGTGGTGTGGCATATAGACCTGGAAGGATGAAATTTGCTAGTGAAAATTTGTTAAAACAGACTTTTCAGGACTTGCAGGAGAAGTTTCTTCTCATATAGTGAAAGAAACCCAGCTGTTCCACTGAGGAGGGTGAAGGTGGAAGACTCACCCGGTGGAGTCGGACGGGGGGAGTGACGGACAGGCCTCAGACACAGGGGTGGTTCCCTCTGAGGAGACCTCGTCCTGGGTGAACGGGTGATGCTCGAAGAACTTAGACACTAGCAACAAGCTGCAGAACACACATCATCAAGATTACTTATTTCATTGCACACCATCGCACCTCTTACGCCTTTATAACAAAATGAGTTAAGGTCAAGGGCATAATCACTCCTGTTAACAGACTTCTCATTTTTAGATTCATGAGTGATATCAACATTTATTTGGCAGTTAGCCTCAGACTCAATAGCAAGATAGTAGTAGTAACTAACTAAGGGTTTGGGTTAGAGGGTCAAGAACTGGGGCAGGGTGTTGGGGTGTGGTTGTGTGTATGTTGAAAAGAGTAAGCTGATTTAACTAGTTAATCATCATTGAAGCTTTGAATATTCGCAGGTCATTCTCACAGAAGCTTCATAGCCTAAAATTGTATTTGGGACATCCCTTATGTGTATAAATGTGGTCCGGACAGAGCTGGATAGGCGCATTCGGGACTATTTTTTATTTTATGTTATTCTATAAATGTAATTTAACTTTTTTCTATGTATGTAGCACAAAGGAAATGCCAATTATTTTTTGTTGTTAAAAAAAATTATTTCCTTGATTCCTTGATATTTTAAAAAGAGGTGGTACTGAGTAATAAATAACTGGCCCACTTCATGCACTGCTATAATATCCAAAATCCAAGATCACACAGGGGAATCGTGTACCAAAACCTAACTATATTGTACAGTACAGCAGGTTCAACCTCACACTGGTTACAGCACCATGGCCCCTCCCTTGTGTGCGACTTACTCTAGTTGGTCATAGTTGACACACATAAGGGGAACCTCGGTGCTGCAGCGCTGGTGGAATTTGTAGCCACAGGTTTGACAGCGAAAACCCTGGAACAGTAGCTTTCTGCAGAAGTCGCAGAAGGCCAGTGTGAAGAAGGTCTTCCTCACCTGTCAATCAAACACAAAATCAGGACAAAGTGAGGCTGAACAATATAATGTGTACTGTCTGTCACTGGAGTCACGCTGGGAGGTTTTGCCTACTAGCACTTACAAAGTTGTGTGTGGTGAGTGGCACATTCTCCAACACTTCTACATGTAACTCCTCTCCTGTCAGCCAGGAGATGTCTGTGTCCCAGCCAATGGGCTTTTTCTCTCTGAAACAGAAAGCGGAAGAGTTAGGGGAAGTGACTGCACCTCACAGTGTTGTTGGCTTAACCACCACACCGAAAGTTGTGCAAACACAACCATGATGGTTTCCAGCAGAAAACCAGCACATCCTAAAGCTACAATGTCTTTCATGCAGGACATGTAGGATTCGGTCTCAGTACATTTGCAGTTTTAGTAAGTAGTTCGATTTTGAACATGTGGTGGCCGCCATAGAAGTCCATTTCGCGACTATTTTCTCATCTAACTCTGTAAATGAAGTATTTATTTAGACCAAACCAGAGTTAGTAATCGTTAGAAAGACTGCGGAAAGACTACCAAAGACGGTTTTGGTGGTTTGTCCAGTTTGAAGTTTGTTTTGGAATTATCTGCTGGATCAAATTACTAAATTACTGGTTTTGTCAATGGACTGAGGTCAGCTGTAGTGCCCATTTCCCAGTTCAGATAAAACTGAACCACTACAAAATGTCATTTCAAATACAGTTGAATAAATTGATACTTGACACCAGTGTGTGGACAACCTACTGCAAGAAAACATGTAATGTATCAGTACATGGATTATTAGCTAGTCACCTCTATAGTGCAACGCTCTATGCAGTACAGTACAATTTAAGGATGGGCTTGATTGAATGAATTTATCGGCTATAAGCCATTAGTGCATCGCCATCTTTTTGGGCCATCGTGTTCATCATTGATCATGTTCTCAATTAATCGATCATTTGTTTGGTCCATACAATGTCAGAAAATTGTGAAAAATGTTGATCACTGTTTCCCAAAGCCAAAGATGACGCCCTTAAATGTCTTGTTTTGTCCGCAAGATATTCAGTGTACTGATATAGAGAACTAAAGAAAGCCGAAAAGACTCACATTTTAGTAGCTGAAATCAGAGAATTTGAACACAAAACAATTAATTGATAAAAAAGTAGTTTAACAGTAGTTTAATAGCTGACAACTAATAAATGAATTGTTGCAGCTCTAATTGTTGCAGCTCTATATGGTAATGGCAGACTTACCCGTCCTGTATCCTGTAGACTGCACAGCACTCTGGAATGAGGCCTCGCATCATCAGAGCTTTCTTCAGCGAGTCTCTCACAGTCATCCCACAGCGGGCCGGGACCTGAACACAGCACAACAACACGGAGCAGGCTGAGAGGAAATGATCTGACACAATCGCACTAAGTTTGGATGATGAAACTTTCAACTGCAAAGTTGGGAGCGAGAATGTTCATATAAGGGGCTTTTAACTGGACTTTGCCACTGTGGAGATCTTCAAAGTGAAACTGCTTTGCGGCGGTTACTTCTACAAATATTTTTCTACAGCCTTATGTGGATGTCCTATAAGTGTTGATGGTAAATAAATATAGTCAAATGAAGCAATACATTTCTGTGTGTGCTATACTGATTGAAAACTTGCTGCAAAATCTGTTCTTCTTTCAGCACCAGAATTTTTATTTGACATTTTTATTTTATTTATTTTATTAGAGTGATGTAGCTGTTTCAGCTCAGAGCCTGAAGGTAACAATATAGCTACGTGTGAAAAAGAAATGGTCAAACTGCAGGAATTCATTTGCTTGGCAATGTTGCTGATTAGCACCCAGCAGCTAACTTAGCTTGCCCAGTGGGCATAGGTGTCAGAAGCTCGTGCACAATGTATCCCGGTACATGTACGTTTCCTATACTCAGGTGATTATATACTGATGAAAACATACCTATGAATATTGTATTCCCACACCGACTACAGAGGGGCTGGCTAACTATGGCATCTAACGATTTTTTAGAGGTGCAGTGCGCGATTCCAGTTCACTGAGCCTCGCCTTCAACACCGCAAATAAACTACATCTATTACACGTACTATATCAATAGATCACTAAAGGAGGCATAGGCAATAATACTGGATATCGTCACATCCCTGTTTTCTTCTGTGCTTATAAAGTAAATGTTGTTCAACTTTGTTAAAATCGCCATGGTCTCAGTTCCTTTTAGCAGCTGCTGTAGTGGATGCTGATGTGTCTTAGAATATGGAAAGTAACCCTCAGAAACAAGCTTAATTTTTTCAGAAAGACTGATGAAAGAAATGCTGAATGAGAGTTTGCACTGAGTTACCAAAGCTAGCGGAAAACAGCCCAGATGTGACATCTTGACCTCAGATCTTTAGAATTAAAATAAACCCATCCAAACATGATTAATGTCCTGTGGCCTTCCTACTTTCTGAGAAAAATGTACATTTCTATGTCAAAACCTTGAAATCATGTCCAAGAACGTCAGACCTACCACTGTTCTCTGTTTGTTGGGCAGGAAGACCCTGACAATGGGCTTCTGAGGGGAGCGAGGGTTGGCTCGGCTGGCGTCGGTGGGGGTCTGCAGCACAGCCAAGGTGTTGGGTGCTGAGGGAAAGGCCTGAGCGCCCCCTCCATCCCTGCAGCCTCCCATCTTGACCTCCAGAAGGGCTGGCATGGGGGAAGGAGAGCACGAGAAGTCCGTGCCGTTGCCCATGGCCTCCAGCAGCTGCTGCTCCCTCTGCTGCAGGGCGTCCAGTTTACTGGTGTACTCCTCATATGCCTGACAGAGACAGAGACACACCACAGACTCAACATCTGAAGTGGCCTTCACAAGATTTCGTTTTCTCCAGCACATTTGTTAAAGTCAAACCTGTCTTACCTCTAGATATATGGAAGGAGGATTGTGTTCTCCTCCAAACTTGTCCAGAAGAGCCTCTAAGTGTTCTTGTGTCAACTTTATCATCTGTTTGATGTTCCAGATCTGTGGGGAGACACACCAAACACAAATTTAGATTTTTCAGTTCAGAACAACAACAACCAGAGTTGTAATCCTACAGACTGAATCTTCCCCACAGACTTTCCATCATTTTACCTTTCAAAATGGTTACTAGGTCACATCAGGCAGTCAGAAATTATTGCCATAACTTTACCGAGCGACATGGCAGACGCTGGATCTTGACCAATCAGGGCCCTAAGTTATGAACTGGATATTACTGTATGACTTAGGCAGAAAACCACATATAAGTAGTTATTCATAAAACCTTACTTTGACGTGGAAATCAATCTTTAAAGTCTAGACTTGCTGATTTCCTGATGGTTGTGTAAGGGTAGCAGCCTGTGGTAAACCTTGCATTAGCTTTATGAACACTGTTATAGGAATCATGGGCACATAGTTAAAAGTGGGGGTGTAAGATTGTGGCAGGAAAGTTTATTTATTTAAACACCTGAAAGTGCCATTTCCTGAAACAGAAAATAGAGCCATCAATACTGACCAATAAAGCTGCTCTTTCACTATAAAGCTCAGTTTAGCTGTGAGAGACAGATAAACACAGACAAAAGGCAACCACTTACTGCATACTGCTGTGAGAAACTGAGTACAATTAGCTGATACTTAGCCTGATCAGCCACTGTCAGTGATCAATACACACAATATTAAACCATTAATCAAACCAAAAACTAGTCAACGTCAGACAACCTTATCATACTTAATATAATCCATAAAGATAAACTTCAATTCAATTCAATTTTATTTGTATAGCGCCAATTCATAACCGAAGTTATTTCAGGACACTTTTCAAATAGAGCAGGTCTAGAGAGAGAGGTAACGACAGAAGGACAGAGACAAAAGGTTCACAGCAACAACAGTAGCAGCAAAACTGTATTCTGTACCAACTTTACATTTTGTCGGCTCAACTTACTCAGTGTCTGTTGGTTAATGAGAGGTAAACCATTTCAAAAAGATTTCCCACCAAAATAAGCGCTGGTTGGTGGATCAGATATGGAGAGACTAATATGACCCTCACTGTCTACTGTACCTATCATGGCATCAGCAAATCAAATCAAAGCAGCTCACTACTATTTGGCATTTTCTACATAATGCCTGTTTTTGCTGTATGAAACACGTGTTATTAGTGTGGCAATGCATTCCCGGTGTTAAGACACCAAAAAGAAAACATGGAGATGCAGAAAAAGTCAGAGATCAGCATTTTTGGGAGAGGTGGTGACACAGAAGCCCAGAGACCTGAATAAAATGTGATGTTCAAAAGGTTCAGAAAGGCTCTAAACAAATTTATTGTCAAGTAATGCATAATGAAATTTTATGGCCAGTAAACAACAACATGTTGGCTGGTTAAATGTTTATACAACCTTGTGTTGTATAATGATAAATGCAATGCCTTGATTTCTTACATTTTCTCAGTTTAGTTGCCATTGGCCGATGTACAGAGGGGATGAGGAGGAAGAAGGCACCTGAGACTGGGGAGATGGACCAATATGACCTGTTTCACAGGAGGTCATAGGAGGGGGAGTCGAGCTAGCTCTGTTCTAATCCCAGTTCAATAGACTATGGGGGGATTTCCCATGATGCACTGAGCTCCTCTCATCCTCTTTCTGCACTCATTCATGTCCCATTAATGCATCTCTCTCCCTCTCCCTCATTCACCTACCTCATGTATATAAAGTAACTTGCTACATTATACATGACAATTTGGAATTTTAAAATAATCTGCATCAGTCGGTGATTTTGCTCACAAGGCCGTAAACAAAAAAATGCCTTCAGACACATCTGCAGGCAACCTTGTCAGTGTGGCTGCTGTGAAATGATGTTCCCACTTCCTATTTGTGTGGAGGTAGTGAAAAAGTTGGTTTTGAGCCCTGTACTATAACTCTGCTTTGGTAAACATACGGCTGAATTTCTTAACATTTTCTTTTTTTTTTTTATATTGGCATTCTATATTGACCATCGGCAGCCCTGCTCTCTCAGTATCAGCATCACAACTCCAAGTACAAATAAAATGGCCCCTGGGTTGTGGATTGAACAAGACATGATTGAGATGATGAGAAATGATTGACAGATTAATTGATAATATAAATAATAGTTAGTTGCAGCCTTGGTGTTGGCTGACTAATTGATTGCTTAATATTCACAGGGCTATTAGACATGGTGGCAAATACAGAAAGCATGTGCTGGAAGGAACTTTTACTTCTTGAAATAGTTTCAGCATTTTTGAGCTAAAACAATAAGTTGAGTAATCAGCCAATGCACACAAAATTAACCATTTTGATTTATTAAAGCTGCGGTAGGTAACGTTTATAAAAACAACTTTTTGCCAAATTTGCTGAAACTTTCACTATATCCTTACAGTAGAACATGAGACAGAAAATCTGTGAAAATCATGTTCCTCTGGCTCCTCCTAGTGCTCCTAATGGTATTTGCAAGAATCCACCAGGCCTGAACAAAAACAACCAATCAGAGGCAAGAAGGTTAGAAAGAGCATTTGGGTTTGTGGCTTGAAATAGTTCATTATTGAGCTTTCGTGAAGGGCCGCTGGATTCTTGTGAATGTCTATAAGAGTGCTACAATGAAACAACCTGATTTTTTCACAGATTGTCTGTCTCATGTATGACTGTCAGGATATAGTGAAAGTTATGATAAAAAGTTATTTTGTTAGTTTTTGTTAGTTAGTTGTTAGTTTAAAGTTGAAAGCAGCTTTAATCCTCTTAAACAAAAACACCAAATGATCTGTTTTTAGCTTCTCCAACTTGAAAATGTCCTGCTTTTCTCTGATTTATATCACAGCAAACTGAAGATATCATATTTTGTTTCTGTAGTGTATATTTACTACTTACTGACATTTAATTGAAAAAACAATTAATCGCTTAATCAAGAAAGTAATCTGTGAATTAATCACTTGAGTTCAAATGTTACTGGAGTTTAGTTCCTGGGACAAATCTTAAAGAAAAAGGTTCTAGGAAAAGGGCTACACTCTGATGAAACAGCCTCGTCCTGCATTAGCAGTACATTAAAACAACCAAAGAGCTAATAGAACAATGAGAAGAAAACACTGAATTTGTCAAAAAAGAAAGAAGCCTATTAAGCATGCATGTAATATGGAAACAATACAAACAGATAATTGCATATAAAGTTATATAAATATCAGGAAAACACATCTCTGATCAATATTCACAGGAAATAATCTGCTCCAAATTGCTCGTTTTACACAAACTTCCTGCAGTTATTGTGTTGACTGTTTGGGATCATTGTACAGTTTATCAGTTGTTCTGTACTGTTATTGTTATGCATTAAATATAATAGGAAAATTCCATAAAATATGTTACTTAGTCAGGGGTTGTTAGTCCCAAAAGTTTGGGAACAGGTTAACATGTTGGATTTAATTGAATAATTGGAGTTATAATTGAATGCTGAATTGAAAAGATGATGGCATGGTACACTGGACCTCTCTGAGGTCATGAGCTTGAAAGCAGTCGTGGTCACAATAGAGTTCTAAGAGTGACATGATGATATTTATTCGATACATCAGTAACTGAAAGTTAGATATACATTTTACACATAAACGAGTTCACTCATTATGAGCAGCGCAGTAGCCTAATGTGTTCTGTGGCTCTGGAGGAGCTCTGTCAAGTCTGGGAAAATAACCCAGATGATGTCATAGTGATGTCACCAGGGTTATCTCAGGCTAGACATGGAGAAATTTATAAAAGAAGTCAGTGTCACAAATTGGGGTTGCAGAATTTGACAGGCAAAAGAGTGTGGCATTATGGGAAATGTAGGACGCAGTGTTACGTAGTTTGGGATGTGCTAGGGACTAAAAGTCAAGATATCTTAACCTCAAGAGTAAAATCACTGGAGTGCCTTTTAAAATGTCTTATCAGCATTTGTAGGAACATCAGCATTTCTATATCATCCCTGTGGAGCTCACAAGCTGCTAAAAATAGACTACAAAACTATGCCACCGTCAAACTGACATGTTAATAAGAAAACTCTTGAGGTGCTGAGAATTTTTGGACCTTAAAATAGGGCCACAGGCCACATAAGTCAGAGAGACAGGTCACCACATTATTGACATTGTCATTTTCTGTATGGAATAGAGAATGCAGCCATCCCCGTTTTTGTTTTGTCATATTGTATCAAACACTATTGATTTTTGTGTTTAAACCCACAACCACTAGATAGCAGTGTTGTAAACAGCTTTTATGCACATGGTGTTCTTTATATAATGAAAGATTTCCTAAAATTTAATTTAAATTAAAAAGATATATCACCTTGCTTACAGTATCACAATATATCACAATACACTGAATCATAACCCCTGTATCGTGATACGCATTGTGTGGTATTCTTGCCAATACGCCGCCCTAACACAGAGCAGAGTGACTGTTCCAACACAAATGCCTGTGATTAGTCAGCCAACACTAAGGCTGCAAATAACTATTATTTATATTATCGATTAATCTGTCAACAATTTCTCATCATCTCAATCATGTCTTGTTTAGTCCACAACCCAAAGACATCCAGTTTACTGTCATAAAAAACTAAAGAAAATATTCACAATTTAGAAGCTGAAATCAGAGAATTTGGACATTTCTACTTAAAATAGACGCGAATGCCTGTCGGCGAACTAACAACCCTTTAACAATGATTATTTTCAGTTGTTGTCCATAAATGTCAGAAAATGGTGAAAAATGATGACCACTGTTTCCTAAAGCCTAAGGTGACGTCCTCAAATGTCTTGCTTTGCCCACAACCCAAAGATATTCAGTTTACTGACATAAAGGCTAAAGAACATTTGAGAAACTGAAATCAGATTTTGGACATTCTTTCTTAAAAATGTCTGAAAACGAAAAATCGATCATCAAAATAGTTATTGCAATATATCGCAATATAATGAATTATACTGTACCAGGATACGTATTGGCAGGTTCTTGCCAATAAACAGGCCCTAACACAGAGGACAGTGAGCATGCAGAATGTTGTGGACAAAACAAATGTCTTGTCCACAACCCACAGATATTCATTTTAATGTCATAAAAAACTAAATAAAATATTCACATTAGAGAAGCCAAAATTTTGCCTTTTTTTATTAAAAAATGACTCAAAATAATTAGTCGATTATCAAATATATCAGGATATATTGAATCATAACTCCAGCATCGTAATGCTTATAGTATCGCCAGATTTCACCCATACACCGCCCTAACACAGAGGACAGGGATCCAGAAGTTGAAGCTGAAAAATATTCACACTTGAGAAGCTGGAAGCAGAGAATTTGAACTTTTTCCTTAAAAATGGACTCAAAACAAATAACTGATAGTTATTGCATTATATTGAATGCTGGTACCTACCATAAGGCCAGATTCTTGCAATACACAGCCCTAATTAGTAATAGTATATATTACAAACTTTAGAAATGATATTGACTCGGACTGCTAGTGTGATGAAGCCTGCTGTCATGGTCCAGCACTGAGGCCTCTGACCTGCAGGCTGAAGACAATGTCCAGGCTCAGCTCCACGGTCAGTGTGAGTGAAGTGATGAAGACAGTACTGACGCTTCCTCCTGTGTGTGTGTGTGTGTGTGGCTGGCTGTACAGCTGCAATGTAAAGACTTTAAAGTAGCCTGTGCGGCTAAATTACACCTCTAAAAAAAAAAACACACACACAAGCACGACTTGAGTTAGCCTCCACCTCCTCCATCATCATCATCATCATCATCACCACCACCACCACCACCATCACCACCACCACCACCACCACCATCATCATCATCACCACCACCACCACCACCACCACCACCACCACCATCATCATCATCATCATCATCACCATCACCACCATCAGCCCTTTGAGGTACTCAGCCTCAGTGGATTGGTGAAAATGAAACTTCGGCCGCATTAGAATCCACATTAGAATCCACATTAGAATCCACATTAGAACGCGGTGTAATTGCGTGTCTTTGTTGCGTCAACAGCGGTGTGTGCGCGCTGTGTTGGCGCTGTGTTGGCGCTGTGTTGGCGCACAGGCTGCAGCTGCAGTGAGCCTGGAAAACGAAGCCAGGAGCGAGTGGAATAAAGCAGGCCCGAAATAAACACAGGCTCCGCCGAGTAAACCCTTCCCCTCCTGCTCGCACCAGTCTGTCGCATTTGGCTGCTCGGTGGAAGCCCGAACGAACCCCGGCGCTCAGACCTACCGACCGCATTTAGTGCATCGTCTTGCCCCCCCTGCGCTGCATCCCCCACGATCCATGTTGCAGCCGGTGTTTCCTGAACATTTCCATCCAATTACCTCCGCTCGGAGCCCGTGTCCCCTTGCCCGAGCTCGCAGCCGCTACCCCCCGACCGCCGTGGCGCTTACCTCCTCATCCTGCGGACCTCCGGGGATCCCCGACGTGCAGGACGAGTCCAGCCCGGCGCCCAGCTCCTCCAGGCCCCGGTCCCTGTCCGGCTCCCGCTCCGCGGTGTCTCCGTTAAAGACGGGCGGTGGGGACTCGGCGCTGCTCAACGCCGCCATTTTAAACTGCGAGAAACTGAGTGGAAAATAATAAGAGGGAAACGCAGGCTGGTGCTGAGGACAGGAGGGGGAGACAGAGACGCAGGACTCTGGACTGGATACAGAGCTACTACTGTTAACTTGGCTCAACAATATTCTTTAATAATAGTAATAATAATAATAATAATATTATAATTCCAGTTTGCAGCAGGGTAAAGGAAACCAGGTTACATTAAATACTTTATGGTTTAAAGTGGTCATGGTTCCCCCCAGAAAATAGGGTGTAAGACCCCCTCCAGACATGTATTAATATATTTTAATATATTATTATTATTATTATTATTATTATTATTGATACAGCACAAACAAAGTGCCTTACATGGCCAGAACCAGCATTAAAACAACAAAAATGTGAATCATAACAATTAAGATCATAAAGAGGTAAGGTAGAATAAAAGAGAGTAGAAGACCCCATCAGTAAAAATAAATACTACCAATAAAACAAACAGATAAAACGATAAAAAGGCAAAATGAATCACACAGGGGCAGATAGTATAAATGGGTAAAATATACAAAGTAAAGAATAAATTATAGTACAGTATATGATAAGAACAATAATACTAATAAAATATGAGACATTAAGCAGTCTGCTAGAATAAATACAAGAAGAAGAGATATGTTTTAAGAAGTGATTTCATTTTTAAAGTTCTGATTCATTACTAACTTAGATCCTTGGGCAGGGAGTTCCAGAGCAGAGGGGCCCTGACTGCAAAAGCATGGTTGCCTTTGGTCCTGAGCCTGGACTCTGGAATAGCCAGCAGAGCCCTGCCCGAGGATCTGAGGCTGCGCCCCAGCTCATTGGGATGCAGCAATTCAGCAATGTAGCTATGAGCTAAACTGCAAAGTGCTTTATAGGTGGTCAGTAAAATCTTAAAATCTGCAAGAAAGTCTTCTTGGAAGAAAAAGTACAATTTCCACATTAAAATCCTTAAAAATGCATCTACTTCTTCATAAATACCTCATAAAAAATTCCAGAATCAATGAACATTTTCAAGATTCAAGGTTATTTTTATAATCATTTACAACGCAAGGTTGTCGAATTAAATTTAGATAAAGTTGGTAAATGGACCTGTACTTGTATAGCGCCTTTCTAGTCTTCCGACCACTCAAAGCGCTTTTACACTACGTGCAACATTCACCCATTCACACACATTCACTCAGTGATGGCAAAGTCCATCGAACAGAAACTAACATTCATACACATTCACACACCGATGCACGGCATCAGGAGCAATTTGGGGTTCAGTATCTTGCTCAAGGATACTTCAACATGTGGCACCAGGAGCTGGTGATCAAACCCACAACCTTCCGATTAAGGAACAACCCGCTCTGCCTCTGAGCCACAGCTGCCCTTCCCTTTATGCTACTTTTAAAAAATCTAATAGACATTTTCCTGCTGGACACAAGATGTCTCCTACTTCCCTGTAAAGTTCTCAGTGGATGTGCACTGTTGGATCACACTGTATGAGTTACATCCTGGACCAGGATTGACTCGTAACTATTTGTGATGTCACAAATCATGCTGGTAGGCCCCGCCCCTTAAAATCAGATTTTCAATGAGCACAGAGAAACTTTCCACTTCCAGCAGATGAATGTGAAAACATCCTTCTAGAGTCAAACTCTGCACAGACATCAAACAGCACAGTGTAGGAACAAGAAGAAACACTGATTTCTGACTCGAGTTTAAACATTTAAACAGCTCATCTTAAAAAGGGGGCTTGACTATAACAATTTTTCTGTTTTACATGTGCACTATTATCCTGTTATGATAGGGTTTTTGGAGTACCCTGGTTATGTTTTGTGTATAAGGCCCATTCCACCGAATCAAAGCCTTTTCCATCTTTATGCATGAAATGAATTATATTATCATTTAAAGTGTCCTGCACTTTGTTCTAATTCCAATATGAAGATACATCATGTAAAACCTTACTAAAAACTACCTACAACAATAAAATATAGGATTTTATCCCGTCCACACTCTAACACTACACTTCACCATGAAATATAAGAATTAGAATACTTCACAGATCTTATTTTATTGTGTTATTGTGTGACTCTGCATCAAGATATAAAATATGTTTTCTCATTGGAAAGTCCTAACCTGTTAGTTAAAATACACATTTTATTATCATCCCCAGGTTTTCACTCTGTCCTATTACCCTGACACATTCCCCCCTCTAAAAATGTGGGACATTTCACCAGTCACATGATCATCAAGAAGTAGCATCATTTGAAGACCAAAAGTAACATCTCTCACTCTATTTTCTGTATTTTAATCATATTGTTCTTATGAGAGGGAATGTCAATCCTAGTCCTGTTACCTAAATTATTTCTTACATATTAGAAAGTTTTAGCAAACCACCTGAAGGTGCACAGTGTTCTCTTGCCAGGATACTAGTACACATGTTAACACACTCGAACACAGACTACACATGGCAGCTATATTTATTGCCCATTAGCCAGAAACCAACCAGTTTTTCGTGTCTTGGAATAGCAGTACTGGGGCCCCAGGCTTGCTGTGTGTCAGTTAATTGGAGGTAATGTGAATATTCACCATGTGAGCCCAACAAATAGTAGAGGTCTTATAACTGGAGTTCAACACAGGGCCTCAGCAGAGCCTATCCAAATACAGAACTTGATTATGAATAATGTCTATTCAAATGAGAAACCCTGTACATTCCCTAATTCAACTATCCCCATGTGCCATTTTTTAAAACCAGATTACATCAACTTTATCCACCATTATTGGCTGTAGTGTTCCCCTTGACCCAACTCTATGCCTTGTTGGAGACATCAGCAAGGTTCAGATCCAGGGGCAGACCTAGAGAAATATTCAGAGGGTGTCCAGAAGGAAATGTATGAAATATCTGCTTATTTAATCACTAACGATCACATAGTATGTCAATATTTGCTTGGAAAAGCACCCAAATGAAGATATTTGAACTCAAAAACATTATTGTGGCACATCAGTAAAGCATTAAATAGGAATATCTAAGGTGGCATCAGAAATCAATACATTATTTTATTTCCAAATCTTCAGACATTTTTCCAAATACATGTCTGTTTTCATTGAACCTAAGCCTTAAATCTTCACCTTTTAACACATTACTTTTTTTAAATCTAAATAAATGTGTTACATTTGACAGCATCTGAAACCAAACTGGGGTTGCCAGGGGTCTTTTGGTGGTGCCAGCTGCCACCCCATGCCACCCCTCTAGATCCACCCCTGCCTTGAAATCTCCAAATATACCAGCAAATTAATTTCTACCTCATCCACTACCTATAGTAAAGAAAACAAACCAAAAAATCTCACCCTGGACATTAATATTTGAAAATTGTACACTGCAGCAATCAATTAACAGTTCGTAAAAGCACTCAAGAAGCTTTCTGGAGACTTTGGAAATATTTATTGCAAGAACTGCTTGATCATTCACTATAATGTCATCCTGATCCCAGAACAGACGGGACCTAAAGACAAAATGATAATGCAGGGCACATCTCAGTTAGTATTTTACTCTAAGTGGTGATAATTCTAGTATACATTTACAAAAACTTAACTGTGAAATTAGAAAAAAGATTCGATTTGATTAGAAAAGCCTTGTTTTTTTTCTTAATTGGATTGAATTTTTCTGTCCTGTACCTGTCAGCACTGACCACCACAAGATCATGACAATATTGGAGCTTTAATAACTTTTTGGCAAGTGGAAAACTGCATTATATGGATTGTATTGGTCCTTTAAAGGTATTTCAACTGGTAACAGTTAGTGGGCGAGTTATAATCTTTGAAATATAACCCACATGGGTGAAATAAAGTCATTTTGGGGCAGAAAAGACCTTTCATTGGTAAGATCAGAGCTCTTAACACTTTTTAATAAAACCACTGGCTCCGAGTGCTCTAAGAGTCTCATTCCTCAAATACTGATGCTTTAGGACCCAGAGTGTCAGTATTTGACCCAGAGCATTAGCATTTAGTGAAAGTTTCAGCAAATATGACAAAAAAGTTATTTTTTTTATAAAAGTTTCCTACTGCAGCTTTAAGCTAACACCAGATACAACATGAGGTACAATAGACCAAAATGTATTATTAATCATGAAGCTTTAAAAGACATGACCACAGGTTCCTTATTGTTGTATGTACAATCATAATTATAATCACATTAGCATTTTATTGGCTGTTTATGGCTCCATAGTGTTTCAACACTGTTCTAAAACACAACCAAGAGAGATGTTTCACATGTAATGTTAACTTAAGGTATTATTCTTGCCAAAATAGAAAAGCTCCCCCAGTGACAGTGCACAGTCCAACGCGGTCTGCCTTCTTAAAGAGAACACCATAAAACAACAACACAAGTCCTGTGTAAAGATGGAGCAGAGGAAATGCTGCAGCTCATTTCTTCTTGCTTGCTCTCTTCCCCTCTCCCTTCTTTGGTTTCCCTTTTCCTCTCAGTTTCTTCAGCCGACACATCTCCTCCTTGAAGTCTTCGTGCTCATCTCTGAGGAGGAAGAGAAAACATTTTATGAAAATTTTCGGAACACTCACTGAAGGTTAGGGTCACACTGAGGTCACACAGATACTCAGAATTTCTCTTATTTTAACCATATTTTAATAACATTCTCACCCGCTAATTAAAGGTCCAGTGTGTAACAATAAGGGGATCTATTGTCAGAAATGGAATATAATATTCATACGTATGTTTTAAGAAAACAAAATAAGAATTGTAGTTTTTTTGTGTTTTTGTTACCTTAGAATGAGACAGATTTATCTCTTCTATGGAGTCTGCCATGTTACTACTAGGGATGGGTGATATGGCCTACAAACTAAAATCTCAGATTTTTGTATACCACATCCAATTTATACTTTTTTTTTTGGAAATGTGAAACACCCCTGCTGTTGTAATTTTTTTACCGCTGGGGCCCTTTCTCTTCATATGAGATACTAAAGGAAAATGATGCTACATGTTCTGTGTAGATGAGTGAGTGGATCGGGGCTTGTTTTACAAAGTCCTTAGCAGCTATATCTCCCCGCATTACAACATTCGTAGATCGAATCTCAGTTTTAAAATGGAAATTCAAATTAATGGATTTAATTCAAACCAAACACTGCCTCTAGATAGCAGGGCAGTGTATTGGGAAGAATCAAGATACAGGGGTTAACATTCAAGATATCTTGATATATTGTGACAAAAAAAAGTCCATCCCCCTTCCCTGCTACATGATGTCAAACATCTAAAATAATCCGGCCTGCAAATGTGTGCAAATGGGAGCAGATTTTAGGGCTTAATTTGTTGTTCGGCTGCTGATGATATAAAATGTATAGGAACTGCTATTAATAATACAGCATTGTATGCATTTAATCTAAGTCCATTTTTGACGCAACCACAAGAGTGGTTGTTGTTGACTGAATCTGCAACTTCACTACTAGATGCCACTAAATCCTACACACTGGTCCTCTGATTCTATTTTCACATTTGTTTGATCCCTGTTAAGCTACCGCCAATGAAACTAAACACTTCCTGCATAAATGTTTCACATTAAAATCCTCCCAGCAGCTCGAAGGACATATTACCGCCTTGTCCTGGTGGGCTGACTGTTTGTCAGTGAAAGTCAGTACGACTTTCACTGACAAACAGTGATGGGGGAAAAAACGGAAATGCAGCGGAAATGCACTTCTGGGCTACCTGAACAGTCCCAGGAACCTGAGCTTCTGGGTCATGCCGTAGTAAATCTTATGATGTGGGTACCAGTCGTACACCTCCTTCCTCTTGGCCATAGGGGGTTCCTGGAACAGCTGGACCACCTTCATAGATTTGGAGTCTGTCGGATGCACAACCTCCCCAAAGATCTGCGCGCTCAGTCTGGCCATGCGCATGGCATAGGTGGACAGACCGGCCATGGCTGCTGAGCAGAGACAGGTGGTCCATATCACGTGACCGAGCAGTGGTGACATGATCAATTACACAATAATCACAGTTTTACACAGTTAAATGAGATGAGATGCAGAGCTTTGCACTTAGAGTGTGTGCTGTGACAGATTACATGAAGCGCTCTCTACTAGCCGACCAATCACAGGCATTTGATCCTGAACTCTCTTCACTGTCCTAAGGCTGCATTGAAAACAATCTGACATTTAAGTTCTGACATATCTTCTTCTATTGATCATAAGATAGAATAAGCTGGTAGTATCAGTATCGCAGCGCGGCCAGAGAAACGGAGCGACTGTAGTAAGAAAAAGTGTGGGTGTTGAGCCCTGTCACCGGGAAAAGTGTGGGTGTCAAAACACCCACATCCCCCATGTGATGCCCCTGGGGTCACCGATGCACCGGAGTGGTCATCCAGTCTCTTTGGTAGAGAGAGAGAGACGAGGAAAACAAACAAGCATGTAAATGGAAATTATCGTGGCCGAAAAAATTATCGAGCTGATTTTATTTATCGTGCGATTAATTGATTTATCGCATATCGCGACAGGCCTACAAATGATACATCATCTTTTAAGAGTTTGGGTTTTTTCCCAGTGAAAAAGAAAATCATGATTGTTTATTGCCAATTATCTATCAAAATAATTGCAATAAGAATTGTTACCATATCGTGCAGCTCTATTTTTTTGTCATACATAACAGTAAGCTCAGTGTGTTTTGGTCATTTAAGTTGTTTTGTGTCTCATTAGGCAACATATTGGAGGTGAAGCAGAACTCTGAAGTGCTGCTGTTCAAAACTGCACATCAATGTAGTAATCACTCTGGAGATGAAATAGGGATGCATAATATGGTAAAAACACCAGATTGCAAATATTTTGACAGATGTTGCAATTGACATATGATTCACGATTAGTGGGAATGATCATCACAATTTTCATTTTTACTGAAATCAAATATTAAAATGATACTGATGTGACATTTGTTGGGGTCTGTACCAAACACACATGTTTTCTTACATCTGAGGACAAGATCTGTAGACCAGGGAACCTCTTCAATACTAAAATATTTCATTATAATGCTACGATCCAAAAATTGCCATCTGTGATTTGCTTATTGCACTTGGCCATATTGCTATTTCTATAATATTCTGATGAATTGTGCAGCCCCAAGATGAAAAGAAGCAGTAATACTCCTGTCCAACCCTTCCTGCCACAGCAGATCCACACTGACACTCATCTGCACACATATATTAAATAACACAGCAGACGCCACTTAAAACATGACAGAAACCTTGGAATGAAACCTGAGATGCAGGTCCTATTTCTCATTCAGTGACTACTGGTGTTACTGTATGTGGATGGAGTGTGACTGCAGTCTCAGTATGCTGTGCCTACAAGATTAGCACTATTAAGAGAAATCCTGTTGTCACTGTGACTTCTCTTTGTATCTGTCGCACTGCCTACCGCTGTGAGTTCATGTTAGCGGATGTGTTCTGTGCTTGAGTCACCATATTGGGTTAACGTTAGGTGTTAACACGCTTTGGTGTTTAACATTCGTTCAAACCTTGGCGTAAAGCCCTCATACAACAACATAATGACTGACAGCTCCTCATGTGCTCAGCTAGCCTCCTTATCAACAATGACAACATGGCGTCTTACCTGAGCCTGGAGCCTGGAGCCTGTGAGGAGCAGCGTCGCGTTGTTTCGTCAAACGCGCTATAAACGCTACTCAAACGCAGTTAGCCGCAGTTTAATAATAACTGCACTTTCAACGTTTCAGCTATCGTTAACCTTCACGAGCCATACTGCCGTCACACACTCTTTCGCGCGTGACACATTTCCCGTGGAGCTGATTGGTTTGTTGCTTTCACTTCCTGTTCTGCCTCCTCTGCTCTCTCTGTCATGGCGGAGTGCAATCATTGACTTTGAAAGTACATACCGCCACCTACTGTACCGGAGTATGCGGAACTTGGTTTTACATTTCTACTGCGAAACAAGCGGACCCCTAAATGAATGAATAGCTTCAGGAGTCTGGGCCTCCTCCCCCTCCTCCCCCTCCTCCAGTTACTGTCTCTTTTCATATACAAATACATTGCCCCACTGATCGAGACCAACCAGAAGATCTGGCGAGACAAAAGGCCAAGTCCTAGGAAGTCCAATGAGACAATAAAAACACAGCCCCATGGCAGACTCCAGTACTACAATGCTGCTCTGTAGGACAATCTTCCTTATTGACCCCCTCTAGTTTTTCTTGCCTTTTCCTCATTATACCTTTTTAATTATTTTACCAAAAGGAATATCTTTCTTTTTGTCTGCTCCCTTTATTCCCTTTAATGCCCACATGGACATTCACTTCCTGTTTTGTTGAAAGGTACTCCTGGTTATCATTCAGCTAATTAGTTTGTTTTAAAAAAGGTGCTGTTATGCATCTGGTGAATTTCTTAATAGCTTTAAAATGAACTGGGCTATCAAAGCATTTTTATAAAGAATCCCATTTCAAACTGGATTGGGGCCTTGACTTATGCAGAGGAAGCAATTCCAACATTGTTTATGGCACCAGTAAGCAGAAATATTCAAATAACACATTTATACCATATGTTATATATGACATGTAATATTTTTATAATGTGGGGATGTCTACAAAAGGGAAACTTGTGGAAACATAGAACATATTTTCAGTCAGATATCTTGAGGTCAGAGGTCAAGGGATCCTTGTGAAAATGGCCATGCCAGTTTTTCCATCGCTGAAATTTAGCCTTACTTTGGAGCGTTATTTAGCCCACTTCCCGACATGCTAGCATGGTGGCTCTGAGACAGACTCCCAGTAAAATGATCTGGATTCCATATCTCATAGTCTGGTCATGCTACATAGGTACATTATTTGGAAAAACGGAGACATTTTGTTTAAGAACAAATCACTTTTCTTTGAATGATGGCTTCAGAGTCAGATTCTGCTGGTAAGTTTCCATCCTCCGTCAGGTGACAAAGATTCATCTAGGATCAAAAACGCTGTCACTATTAAATGTTGCCATTATTTGTGGCAGTGAGTAAATTCTTTCTGACAGCCTTGCACCCGAGTGACGTACGTATAACTACTTTCCTTCTACTGGTCATACTGTAACATAAACAAACCGATGTGGAATCAATCCTCCATACTTTTTTATTTAGCCAGTGTGGATGTAAAATAGGTCTCAATTAACATTCATAGCCCCTCAACAGCCCCTTTTCACACACACTTTTAACCCAGGCCAGGGTTCACCTAAGCCCAAGGCTATATGAGGCGCTGCATTTCTATTAGCCCTGGGTTAAAAATTAGGCAACAACTAAATTATTCAGTTGTTCAGAATTCAGTTGTTCATCAAAGCTTTTTCAACCTCAGACTCTTCAGTGATATCCAAGTGCATCTGCAAATATACCTGTAACTTATATGGTAGATTGGGGTTCACTGTGTGATACATATTATAAAAATACAATGTCTACTATTCTTCTTTGTATTGTTTATGGTGATTGTGTAGAATTTAAATGTGCATATGTTTCAGAGACAGTTGTCTGTTCAGTCCACTTGGCAGCAGTCATTTTGTGTCTTTACAATTTACAACCAGGAGAGGGCGCCAGATGTGAAGAAATAGAAAACTGCAGCAGTAGATTCTTCTTAGCATTTTCAAAGCTTTACCTGGACACAGCAGAGTGACACACAGGAAATAAAGTGGCCATGAACACAGACTCAGAGCGCAGACTCTGGCAGGGACAGGTCAAAATGAATTAGAGGAACATCATTACAATTCAGGTTTGTTTGTTGGGTTACACCAGAGCAGAAAAAGTCTTCACAACAATAATTGTCAATGTTTAGTGCAGTGGTTCCCAGCCATTTTCCTTAAGGGACCCCCAACTGACAACCCCCTCTGTCTATCAGAGAGTGAGGGATCTGTGATATAGCTTGTGTTCAACTCTTCACTTTCAGATCCTAAAAAGTTATGTTTCCGTTTTCTTACAAGCCTTAAAATCAAGAAGGCCGTGTGACCCCCTTTGCTTTGGTGGCCCCTGGTTTATTGTACCCACAATATAAAACAAAACTACATACTGAGGAATTAATTTGGAATAAAGTCAACCACCTGCACCATTTCGGAAATTTCACTCCACCTCTACCTGTCCCTGTCAGTGTATCGATTATGAGATATTGATCAGGGAATTTTGAATCTATGAACATTTTCCACCTTTACTTCAGTGAAATATTTATTTGTTAATAATGTCTTTCCAGGTGATTTCTTTATTCTTTGTTGCATTGATGTATGAGCGTTTTCATTAAAAGTCACTTTAGAGAGACTGCTGTCAGGAATTGTGTGTGTGTGTGTATCAGAACTGTTTGCTGTTTAGAAGAACACAAAACATTAATTAACATTAAATCCTGACCAGTCCTGTCAGTGTGTCTGGAGATTTAAGCAGTATAAATAAAGTTATGCTTGAAGGGAGAAAATTCACCTTATTTCCCTTCCTCAAGCCATCTGCTATTAATCTGAATGTTATCCTAACTTTTATAACCCGGCTGTCAGATCGACCTCAGTGAAGTTGTTGATTGTTGAGTCTCATTCCCATGTTGTCAAATACAGATGCTTCAGGACCCTATGAGACTCAACATTTTTTTCACAGATTATCTGTCTCATTTACTACTGTCAGGATATAGTGAAAGACAAAAGTGGTTGCCTCATGGTGAACTCCTGAGGGTGTGGGCCCCTAGACATTGTCATGCTTGGCCGGGTTAAGTCCATTATAGGCCTCATACTTTAAAATGTATACTCTTACTTCCCATTGACTGTGTTCAGGATTTGGGCCACAGTAAGACATAACAGCGGTAGTATGAATAGCAGTAGTAACAGAAGCAGTGGTAGTTTATGATTGTTCAATCAAATATCATGGAGCCTGTAAACTAACACCAGACGCCGCTGTTGATTGGTCGGTGGACAGGCCTGCTCTGTAGCAGCTGCCGTCATCCTCTCAGACGTGCTGGGGATGCTGACTCTGCTCCCTCTCCTCCTCTCCTCCTCTCTCCTCCGGCTGATGGCCTGCGGTCTGCACGGGCTGTTTGCACTACATTAGGTACATTTACTCTCTCTAAATGAAGCGGGTGTCATTTGAGGCGGTCCTGGTTTGCATTGTTTTTTGTAAATGGGCAAATCGCTCTAGCTCTTTCTACAGTTTTCTATCCTCCTTCATTGTCCGTGGCTGGTTTTAGTGGGCGGGTTATGCAGTGGGGGTGGTATTCTGTGTGAAATATAGCCTTAAGTGTGCTTTACTGAACACCTGGATGCTGTGCTGATGTGTTTTGTGCGTGTCCCCTGCGCAGACGGATGGATGCTGGAGATCCGGGGCTGAGATGAGATAAGCGTCCTCTGTCTCCGCCGAGCTGCTGCAGCGCCGAGCACGCAGAAAAGAGCCGGAATACGGGATTTAACGACTGATTCTGCCTGTGAGCTCAAAGCTTTGCCTCCTATTTTGCGCCGCCACCCCGATAATGCTCCTGCCGCTGCTCTCCAGAGGTGATGTGAGCTGAACTTGCTGGAGGGGGGGGTGAAAGCCGCAGAGGAGCTGTCCGTCTGTCGAGGTGCTGATGCGGCTGTGACAGAAGCGAGCATGGCTGCCGGGAAGTTGCTGCTCTACGCCGGGCTCTCTCTTTCTCTCTGCGCCCTGGGCATGCTGGCCGTGGCGATGTGCTCCGACCACTGGTACGAGACCGACGCCAGGAGGTACAGGGACCGGTGCCGAAGCTTTTCCAGCCGCCGCAAGGACCCGGGCTTCATCTACATCCCCAACAACAGCCTGCCGCTGCGGGCCAGCCGGAGCAACCTGCCCCGCTGGGAGGAGAAGCTGCTGCTGGCCCGGAACCGGCGGCAGCTGTTCGCCATGAGCGCCGCGGACGAGTGCAATAGGCAGTATAACTCAACCAACATGGGGCTGTGGAGGAAATGCCATCGGCTGGGCTTCGATCAAGAAATCGAAGACCTCATCCGGAAAGGTAAGAATGGAAGTCAGACAGCTAAAGAGGCTAAAGTTGTTGCAGAGACAGCAGTGTGCATTCCACACTGTTAGAAAATCAATTAGCCCGCTCTGTGGTGGTTGTTCATTTGACCAAAGGGCGAACAAGGGCACTGAGCTGTATTTTATTGCTGCTATGGAAGCAAATGTTTGTCCAAAGGCATGCCCTGTGTGTGTGTGTGTGTGTGTGTGTGTGTGTGTGTGTGTGTGTGTGAGTGGGTATGGACGGCCTGTGGCTGCAGACTGCTTGTTGTCATGCTATTTTGCAGAAGAGGGGCGCGTGTTAATTATGTCCCTGTTCTCAGGTCTGATTGTGGCTCTTGGTAAGTTTTAAGTGGTGCTTGCCTGACAATGTAACTGCAAATAATGACATAATCATTCCTGGGTGCATGGGCTGGACAGTAAGGACTCAGGAAGAGGTGGGGGTGGGGGGTAATCATAGAGCTGTTTATTATTGTCTTGACTCTTCTATCAAGAGTTCAGTCAGGTGCATTCTACAGATGCTCTTGCTTCTCTTTTACTCAGTTACCAAAGATTCATCACTTAGTACTAGATCTATACAGGCCTAATGTGCAGGGCTGGACTCACCTGCCTGGGTGACCTCGGGCAAAACTGAGCTGGTGGCACTGGAGCAAGACCCCATTCTCTCCCTCTGTACATGTGTACAGTGTTCTATATGATGGAATAATACATGATCCACAGATTAATTTACCTTTGAGTAACATTTAAAGTGTAACTGGTATATTTCAACCTGGATGTAGTTTCCGTGCCACCACCCAAAGGTATCTAAAGAGCCAGTGTGGTTGGCTCTGGCCGTTGCATCCTTGGCAGTCCTGACTCTGCCAGCTCCCGAGCTGAGACGAGCTGAATGAAGCCTGGTTACTGAAATCAGTGACGGCACTCACCTGTCACTCAAAGTTGACACACCCTTAATTATGCATGAGTTTAAGCCTTAAAATAATTTAAACAAGTGAGTTCTATAAAAATTCACCCTTGTACAATTGTCATAAATGGGGAAATTAGCTATAGAGACCAAAACAGTTTTTTGGACCAGGCTTTAAATTTGTTTATTTCTGCTATCTAAAGTAGGACATTTTAGTATGGGGTCTTATGGAGATTGTCTCACTTTTGCAGCCAGCCTCAAGTGGCCGTTAGAGGAACTGAAGTCCTGTAAAGGATCCCTGATCTGAGCTTGTCAGGGGCAAAACAAAGCACTGTTATTGGACAGACTGCAATTACCTATGTGCAGCGAGTTTCGCGGCTGGTGGCTGCAACTTTAAAAGTTGTTGTCCCCCTTAATCACTTTAATCTAAAATACTGATGTTACCCTTTAAGAACAGTGTCACACACCTCAAGGGGAGGTCCCATTTAGGAGGGGCATATTTAGTCAAGTCATTTATGAGGTAAAATACCCAACATTTACAGGTTGCAGATTCACTTGATGTTTTTTGATATGAGTTTTTTGTATAGCCCAACCGATTCAATTCAGTTTTATTTGTATGGGACCAATTCACAACAAAAGTTATTCAATTCAATTCAATTCAGTTTTATTTGTATAGCGGCAATTCCTAACAGAAGTTATCTCAGGACACTTTTCAAATAGAGCAGGTCTAGACCGAACTCCTTATAGAATTATTGTCTTTATATATATATTGAGGCAGACAAAATTAATAATAAAATCTGCAGCTGACAAAGTCAAATACAGGTTTCCACTTATGCCGCTGTAGCGTATAACATTGCACAGGCATGTAGTTTGTTAAAGTTAAAAAGACAGGGAGACAGAGGTTTCTGATGGAGGTTACTGGTCTGAGTCCAAGCTGGAAGAGGAGAGGGTGTGTGTGCTCTCTGAATACGCGTGTGTGTGTGTGTGTGTGTGTGTGTGTGTGTGTGTGTGTGTGTGTGTGTGTGTGCTGCAGCTGTGCCTTCCTTTGAGGATGCCTCAATGGCCTTGATGGCCTACCATCTGCAGTAATGGGCAGCCCACAGTCAGTGTGCTCAGTGATCAGATGAATGCCTCCATAGAGGGTCTGATCTATCCCAGCTCTCAGTTCCATCAGCATGGAAAAGTACAGCGTGGTTTGCCACCATGATGCATCTGACAATAACTTCACACTGATGGGTCAATATGGACACAGCTGTGGAGATAACCACTGTTTATCTCTGTGTTCTACAGTGTGATCCACTTACAGCTCACATTCAGCTGCTGCACCCAGATACAGTGACATCCAGCAGCCAGCAGCAACACCAATAACCATTACTACCAGTACTGCCACTATACCAGTACTACTGCTGCTACTGCCACTTATCCTGCTACTATGGCTATTTCTACTCCTACTGCTTCTACTTCTATTGCTACTGTTGAAACTGTTGTTCCCACTACTGCTACATCTACTTCTTCTGCTACTACAACTGCTGCTACCACAACTAGTGCTACTACTATTGCCTCTTGATACTGCCACTTCCACTGCTACAGCTACTGCTATTGTCTCCACTACCTTTACTACTACTGCTGTCTCAACTGCTTCCACAACCATTTCTACAGATTCTTATGCTACTACTTTACTGCCCCTACTGCTACTACCACTACTGGTACTGTTAATACGGCCAGTGCTACCACTACTGTTGCTACTACTACTGCTAAACTTCTATAGCTACTACTGCCACCACTAATGCTACTGTTACTGTTAATACTGCTACTGCTAGCACTACTGCTGATTCTACTAGACTACTACTACGACTGCTGCCACCACCACTGCTAAACTTCTATAACTACTACTGCCACCACTACTGCTACTGCCACTACTATTTCTACTGCTGCTACTACTAGGCTACTACTGCTACTACTCATACTGCAACTGGTACTACTACTACTGCTGCTTTTGCTACTCCTACCTCTTTTGCTACTTCTACTGCTACTTGAAATTGATGAAAAATAAGAAGTATTCCTAAGATCTTGACTACATCCCTGCTAGTCGCCAGGTCATAATGTAAATTCACAAGCCTGTTTATTGTATCCACACTATCCAAGAGTTTATTATAACCTCACTTCTTTAAATGTACAGTAGCTTTCACTGACAAATAATGTTAAGCTCTGTGCCCCCTCTGCTGTTCACATGCATTGCGGCAAGAACACAATTCTCATTTTTTAGGGATTTTGACAAAGGTCAGAGCAAAGCACCACAAAGCCTCCCCTCCATGTGCTGCTTCACTTTCATTCCATTATAATCTCCGAAGTCAAATTACAGGCCTACACATTCCATGATTTCTGTATCTACGTCCCCTAACTGGCCTCCTGCTGCTGTTTCATAATGACTGCACATTCTCCCGTGTACTCTTATGACACATGAGCATTGTGAAATGACAGGAAACATTCATGCAATTATTAGCCACAATTTGAAACCGCAATGAGTCATTTCCTTCCATTTGAATAATATAATACTGTTTTTATATAAATAAACATGATAATTGTTGTCAGGAGTGAATCATAATCCAAAAGCACTTATCATATCTCTGATTCACTCTCACATTATCTTCATATTTACAATTCTAAAACTCTAATCTCTCCATGCTCATCCAATTCTCTGGCATGGGCACTAATGACGCTTCAGCTGTTAATGTTTGGCCAGATCAGCAGTATCCATTCATCTCCTCATCTGTGAGGCATCTTCCATAACCACGAGCTGCTTCCGTATGTAGATTTATGGGAGCAGGAGGGCAAGGGAGAGAAGCAGTGGTACCAGGTCAACACAAAACACCAAACCCTCCTTTTTAAGCTTGGTTTGTGTTAGTGATGGAGTGGGTGTGTGGGATTTCTTGTTGTCAACAAAGACCAAACCAACAATGAATGTATTCTAGCAACAAGTAATTGTGTGTGTATCAAAGCCTGATAGATTTTCTTCCTCTGTACCATAGAGCTTCATTAAAAACACATAATTGAGCCACACTGTTGCACTGTCTGACATATTCCTTCATTACCACGAACACACACGATAGTTTATTTTGACTCAGTCCCACATATACCATCCTGCTGCCCCAAATACTCACTAGAGCACCAAATGTGGATTAATCCAGTGCTGAAAATAGGCCCAAAAAATTCACTACTTCTTCCTGTTTTAGTACCGTTTGATAAAAACTATAGTAGGCAGCTGTTTACTGAGCCTTTTTGAAAATTAAACTTAATTTATGTCTTCAGTAGGAACAATTGGATTTGGTGCTTAAAAGGTTACCTATGCAAGATTTAGAATATAAATATATCAGCAAACAACAATATAAAGACACAGTGGAGTCATGGTGGCTCACTCCCTCTGCCTATGTTGCTATTGCAGCCTCCCTGTGGTTTGTTTACAAAGCCAGTCTGGCCATTCGTGCTTGTTAGTGCATGAGAGTCCCTCCTTTTCCAGCTGAGTAGACAGACTGAAACTGTTGTTTTTCTCATCTATGTCAGGGAATTAAGGATTTATTTCGACCAAACACGTATTGGTGATTTTTGGAAAGATGGTTTTGGTGAGTTTTATTTTGTTTCCGTCTACTTTGAATGAAGTTAAGCTGTTACATTGTGGTGTGATGATATGTGAGATAAAATGAAATTTTTTGTCTGTGGAGCAATATTTGAATTGCTTTTCCCTTTTAATAAACATTCAATATAGGCTTACTGTAGCCTAAGTATGTGCAGCTGGGGGTTATGGGGTCACCCTCTCCTCTAAATAGATCACTGCCGTACCAGCATCTAATTGTTGGTATTCACTCACTATACAAGTCATGTTGATAATCCGAACTGTTGGCATATGTTAGCTTGGTGTCTGATTCCGTGACTGGGCACAATATATGTGACCTCCTGCTGCAGGAGCAGCTAACTGACTCATGTTGTTTGTCACAAGGAAAACCTCCTGGAGAGAGACAGGAAACACTGAAACAGCAGCAGAGAGACATCAGGCTAAAAAGTGGTTTGGGACAGAGGATGAGAAGCAAAGAGATTCAGTA